ACTCAATGGCACATAACAACAGCAGTGATACTAGGAAGTGATGAAGTGAAAAAATCTAACAGAATATTTCAAAGGGGAGCTCAAGAAGACGAAGTTAATTATAATTAAATGTGCAAAGATCCTAAGTTAGAAAACTAAAATACAAAGAACACACTCAACATTTCTCAAACTGCAAAAAACTGAAGGAGAAAAATTCAAGCCTTTTACATGCAAGTTTGAAAGGTTCTATGGACAAATATTAAAAATTATATAGAAAGCATCAAAAGAGATTGAAGAAATACAGAGCCACTGTACCAAAAAGAACGGGTTTATGTTCAATCATTCCAAGAGGTACCATAACATCAAAAACTAAAGTCACTGGTAAAAAAAGAAAACAAAAATTAATAGTGAACTAAAGGTACAGTCAAAAGGAGAGGAAATCACTAGGATGCGGGGGGGAGCATGTTTTGCATGGGGCGGAATGAAGGAATTAGGAATGATCCAATGGGGACCTGAAAAGACAGGGTAATGGTAGCCATAGATCAATGGTGGCTAATTTTACAAACACAATGTACATGAGCAGTCATTTGAAACACAATGTGAATGTAAAAATGTGTGAAATGCATGTATATGAATGATACACAATGTATACAAATTTTGTATGCAAACCAGTATAAAATAAAAAGGAAGTGGGGGCGGGGAGTAAACACAAACCAACAAAGCTGGTGCCTTTGAGTCAATTTCAACAGTTGTCCAGGGCTTCTGCTGGAAAAACAAGGTTCAAGAAATTGACTAATACCAATTGAAATGTTTCAACAAACGGACTCAGTGCTGGAAGTGCTCTGTCATCTACCCCAAGGAATTTGAAAGAAGATTACTTGACAAATGGACTGGAAGAGATTGACATCTGTGCTCACATCAAAGAAAAGTGACTCAATACAACAGAATTTACATCACAAACAAATAAAATTTTGAGTTATACTATTCAAACCAGTACATCAGCAGAGAACTGCCAGAAGTCCAGGCTGGGTTTAGAAGGGGTCGTGGTACTAGGGATATTGTTGCTGATATTACATGGATCTTAGCTGAAAGCAGAGAATACCAGAAGAATGTCTATCTGTGTTTCATTTATTATGCAAAGGCATTTGACTGCGTGGATCATAATAAACTGTGGCTGACTCTGAGAAGAATGGGAATCCCAGAACATTTAATCGTGCTAATGCGAAACCTATACTTGGACCAAGAGGCAGTCGTCAGAACAGAGCAGGGCAACACTGCATGGTTCAAAATTGGGAAGGGTGTACGTCAGGGATGTGTCCTGTCTCCATACCTTTTCAACCTGTATGCAGAGCAGATTATCCGAGAGGCGAGGCTCTATGAGGAGAGGCGTGGCGTTAGGATTGGTGGACAATCTATCAACAATCTGCGTTATGCAGATGACACAACTTTGCTCGCTGAAACTGAGGAGGACCTCATGCACTTACTGCAGAAGGTCAAGGACTGCAGCCTTCAATATGGACTGAGGCTCAATGTTAAGAAGACAAAAATTCTCACCACTGGACCAATCGGTAGCATCAGGATGGATGGCGAAGAGATTGAGAGTGTTCACAGCTTCAGTTTGCTCGGCTCCACGGTCAACACTCTTGGCACCAGTAGCCAGGAAATAAAAAAACATATTGCGATGGGAAAGTCTGTGGTTAGGGACCTCTCAAAAATACTGAAGAGCAACAGTGTCTCTCTGGAGTCTAAGGTCCGCCTGATACAGGCCATGGTTTTTGCAATCACTTGTTATGCATCAGAGAGTTGGACAATGACTAGGGAGGATACAAGGAGAATTGACACCTTTGAGCTGTGGTGCTGGAGAAGAGTATTGAATATACCATGGACTGCCAAGAAAACAAACAGATTCATCGTAGATAGGATTAAACCAGGCTGCTCCTTGGAGGCAAGGATTCTGGGGCTTCGTCTGACATACTTTGGACATGTTGTAAGGAGAGACAGGTCTTTAGAGAGGGACATCATGCTGGGTAGAGTGGAGGGACAGCGCAGGAAGGGAAGACCCTCTATGAGGTGGACTGATTCAGTGACTGGGGTACTCGGGATGGGTTTGTCAGAGGCAATGAGATTGGCACAGGATAGAGCACGGTTTAGGGCTGTTGTACATAGGGTCGCTATGAGTCGCAAAAGACTCGACGGCACTTAACAACAACAATTATTCAAACCAAGCTAGAGGCACAGAACTGCTAAAAATTTAACCCAGACACAGAAGAGGACATGGAGCAAGGGATGTCAGAAGGATCTTGGCTGAAGCAGAGAATATCAAATGGTTATTTAGTTATACTTGATTGACTACACAAAGGCATTCGACGGTGCATATTACAATAAACTGCTAGTAACTTTGAGAAAAATGGGAATCCCAAAACATTTAATTGTGCTCATGTAAAACCTGTACATAGACCAAGAAGCAATTGTTTTTAAAAGAACAAGTAGACACTGAATGGCTTAACATCAGCAAAGGCTTGTATTGGGGTAGTATTCTTTTACTCTAATTATTCAATCTGTGTGCTGAACAAATAAAGCAAGAAGCTAGATTAAACGAAGAAGAATGTGGCATCAAGACTGAAGAGGACTCATTAACAACCTGCTGTATGTAGATAACACAATCTTGATTGCTGGAATTGAAGAGGACTTGAAGCAATTACTGATAAAAATACAGCCTGTTATATGGATTCTGTATAGTGTTGTGCTGCAGTAGTTTCTCAGGAAAAAGGTGGAGAGCTTCAGGTACTGTGTGAATGAAAAAGTGGGTGTGAGTTCAAGTATAGCACTAATGGTAAGGATGGTGTCACCCAAGCAGGGCTTTGTCCTGTTGTACGTAATGTCGCTCTATCTCAGAACTTACTATGACATTGACACACACTGCCTTCCACTGAGACTCCAGGGCTGTAAATCTATGCGGGGAGACTGTTCATCCTTCTTTTGTGAAGTAGCTGGTGGATTAGAACCACTGGCCTGGCAGACAGCAATCCAATACATGCATTAAGCCACCTGACACACTAAGCCAACTGCATACAGAACAACTACATCATTATTATTGTTATTATTAGCCTCTTGTAGGAAAGGCAAGTCTCACTGACATTCAAATGAAGCAGCACAAAGAAAGCCCAACTTTGTTCTCACTTCCAATTATTTCAAGGTAATGAAGGTAAAACTAACTAAAGAGGAAGAAAAAAAGAAGACTTTCCATATGTATGTATTTGTTGTTATGTATCGTCTAGTTGGAAAGTACTCATCCGGTGGGTTTTCAGGGACAGTAAACTATATGGAAGGAGATTGCTCATCTTTCTACTATGGAGCAACTGGAGGATTTGAACAACATTCTTTTAGGTTGGCACTATAGCTCCTTACCATTAAGCCACCAGAGATACAAATGTAAGTTACTGCCTTTGAGTTGGAACAGACTCATACCTGACCCTCCCGCAGGTTTTCAGAGGTTGTAAATCGCACAAGAGGAGAATGCCCAGCTTTCTCCTGTGAAGCAGCTGGTGGATTCAAACTGCATGCCTTTGAATTGGCAGTGTAACTCCTTAACCACAAGGCCACCAGCACGTTGTTGATACAGATATATAATCTATAGGTAGAGATATATATAGGTCACTGGGTTGGACAAATGGTTTCTGCTTTACCAATAAGTTTGGCAGTTCAAACCATCCCTTATACATGGTGCCACAGAAAAAAGGCAGCCAGGCAATCTCCTTCCGGATGGATCACCACCATTCTATAATATGCAGGGCTGCCTTGAATCAGAATTGGCTCAACAGCAGTCAATCCAACATTTTGGTATGATTTTGCTTTTCTAGGAAGAAGATGAATTAGTATACATCATTTCTTTCATATTTTTTCTGCACCAATTGTTACAGATCACTTAGAAATTATATGAACCTTTCATTGTTAATTTGCAAAAAAAATTTTTTAAAAAAAAAAAGATTTTTTCAATTCTTGGATCTCCTTCAGACTGAAAAACATGCTTACATGACTGTTGTTAAAGCAAATACAAAGAATTCTTTCCCCCAAATCTTCTCAAAGAAATAAAAGTCTAAAACAAATGAAAAATTTACTGAAAATAGAGAATGAAATCTTCTAGAAACACATTTTGAATTACTATGTGTAGCGGGAGAGAACAGACAGGTTTTCAATCAACCAGACAGATTCCAAATCCTCCAGCTGCACAATGTTTATAATAACATGTCCTGATCAGCCCATTCTGTTCTTAGCAATTATAAAGAGATCTGGTGATTAAGCTACTTTGAAGCAATAAATCAAAGCCAGTAGAGGGAATATTAATAGATTGTGCTTGAAAATTCAAAATTAGAGTGCTTCAACGGGTTCCCGTGCTTCCCAAATACAGGACCTTGAAAGTGTTCCTTAATATCCCTGGTTTGCTCACTTATAAAATGGAGACTATTTCACGGTTGTGAAAATCAAAGATGAGGCAGTAAAGCTACTATAATAATACCTGGAACCGAATGGAGGTGTCACCAGGTAAGGACTAGTGCCATCACATCTATGTCTGTACTGCCCCCTAGGGAAGAGTGATAGAACAGCAGGAACAACAATAACCATCTTACCAATGTTGAATGAGAAATAAAAATCATTATTAGCCTGGAAGGAAGAAAATGGGCTATCTCCTCGCATGCTGTTTACCACCTCACAAATTCAATGAATGAAGGGAGCTGTGATGGCCTAGTGGCAGGAAGCTGCGCTTCAATCTTGAAGGCATGTGGTTTGAATCCACCAGATGCTCTGCTGAAGAAGAAGGGGCAATCTCCTCAGGTAGACAACAAGGAATTAAAAAAAATCAATGAAGGGTCAGCTATCAGTTGCTCTGACACAATGGCAATGAACTGAGTTCTGGGGAGAGGGGTAAATTCTCTCCATGCCTCAGGTAAGCTTAGTAACAAGAAGAAATTTACAGGAAGCAAGGTAGAAAGCCCTGGGGACTCTAGAGGACTGGTACTTACTTTGATATGTGCCTTCTGCAGCCCCACAGCCTCCTTTGGCGAGGACAGGAAGTGATAGTTGGTTGGACCCAATGGTTTCCTGTTAGTTGAAAGGTAAAAGGAAAGCACACATTTTTGCCGAGTACAATGCCCACATCTCCTTAGCAGTGATGGCACAGGCTCTTTATAGATGAGAATGGCTGTTCCTGATTTAACCACAAATTGGTCAGTCACATGAGAGCACAGAGGCTTCAAAGAACTCCATTCATGGACTCTCACCTGGGGGAAGTAACATAGAATACAAACATTCTTGTTGCCAATTAAGAATAAGGGAACTCTGGTGACCTAGTGGTAAGAAACTGCACTGCAATCCCCAAGGCATGTGATTCTAATCCACTAGCTGCTCTGTAAGAGAGGGATGGGCAATCTCCTCCCGTGCAAGTAATTGTCTCTGAAAACCTACTGGAGGGTCAGCTATGAGTTGGTTCCAACTCAACTGCAAACAACAGCAACAGCAGCAAGTATAAGAATAGTAGTAATAATATATAGCAAAGTGAATAGTAGACTTGTTTAAGAAACTATCAACCTTGCTAGTTATGTGACTGTAAACAACAAAAATAACAAACCTAAACTTCCTAGAGTCTCCATGTGTTCATTTGTAAAATGAGAATAACAGCACTTACTACACAGGTTGTTGCAAGGCTTAAATCTAAAAAGTCCAAGGAAGGTACAGTGGAAGTCCAAGGAACACAGAGTTATTATTCTGTAAACGTTATGTATTGTCATTATTAATATACCTCAAATTGTAGCCATCCAAGACCTCTTTTTGAATTTCTATCTTCTTTATACTTGTTGCTGGTGTTGTTAGTTGCCATTGAGTCAGCACCAAAACACAAAACCCTGTGTATAATAGAACTAAACCCTGTCCAGTTCTGTGCTACCCTGTCTCCTCAATGCTCTTAACCCACCGCTGCAATCACTGTGTCAGATCATCTCCTTGAAGATTTTCCTCTCCTTCAATGAATTTCTACTTTACCAAGCATGATAACCTTCTCCAAGGAGTACTACCTTCTCAAAGCAGTACTACCTTCTCCTAAGCAGTTCCCTGTTGATGTATTGCTCTGGCCACTTTTTAAATATCCTTCACCAAGATTTTACTTGTGTTGTTGTTCTTGTTAAGTGCTGCTGAGTCATGGACAACTCACAGCGACCCTATGAACAAAAGACCTGATGGCTTATATAACTTTCGTTGTTTCTCCACGTTCATAGAGTTTTTGGAGGCAAACCATTTTGGAAGTGGATGCCACTCCTGCTTCCAAGTTTGTTTTAACTGGAGAGCTCCACCAAACACTGTCCACCATGGGTAACCATTATCACAACTGATATATCAGTGTCACAGGGTTTAGCATCACAGCAAACCATAAGTTACCTCTGTACAACAAAAGGACAGACACGTGTTATACCACTTAGAAGAAAGTTTGACAAAAAACAATTAAAACCAAGCCTGAGGGCTGCAGATTAAAATCACCCACCTTTGGCTTGGTAGCAACACTTTCTGTCCACTAGCTGTGGTTGATATGAATGATACTGCTCAAGAATTTCCACATTCTGCTGAATCATCTTTTTTTGAAATGGACACAAATACGGAACCCGGCCAGTTGGCTGGCAGGTTACCTGTCTTCCAAATTCCTTGCCATAGCAACTGAACACATTCAGGGCTACATCTGTTTACTGAAAATTTCTGGAGGCTTGTGTGTGTATGTGTGTGCCTTCTCCCAACCCACTCCAATCCCTTCAGCGCAGCTTGGGTTCTTCCTACAATACCATTGGTTCTTTATCATGTGCAACCCCCTCACATGGTTGAGCAATGGCCAGTTCTTTTTGGCATAGTGACTCTGTGTACTCCTTCCATCTTCTTTAGATGCTTCCTGAATCATTCATTTTTTGCCATCAAATTCTGTAGCCTTGCAATTTAAAGCTTGAATGTTATCTGCAGTTCTTTCGGCTTGAGAAATGCTGAGTGTGTTCTTTCTTTTTGGTTTTCTAACTTCAGTTCTTTGCATATTTCATTCTAATACTTCGCTTTGTCTTCTCTAGCTGTCCTTTGAAATCTTCTGTTCAATTCTCTTACGTAATAAATGGCAAGACTTAGCCTGAATACAGGTATTCTGATTCTAAGCACAGGTCACACTCCACTGTGACCCTAAAACCATTTTGGTGCAAACTAATCTCTCTTTTCCAAAAGAATCAAAGAGCTAGTCTAAAAGTCTAGCTAAAAGGAAAAAAATTCAAGTGACTTACTGTAAGTGTCATCCTGGAGTCTGAGCGGAGATCTGACACACCGTAGATATAAAATACATTCTGATCTTCAAAGCCAACTGGCAACACCGGAGCAAAGAAACGCTGAGCAAAGTAATGAAGCATCTTCCACTTTCCTCCATACTCTAAAAATAATTAAAAAAAGAGATTCGTGTCTGCATGGCTAGCTAGGTGTGGCTACCATAATGACTCTAGAGAGTGAGGATAGAAGGGAAAGTTAGCAGAGGACAGAAGCCCCAATTGCATCGCTATGTTAACACACTTGGTTGCTAATCAAAAGGTTGAAGGTTTGATTGCACCCAGCAGTACCTTAGAAAAAAGACCTGGCAATTTACTTCCAAAAAAATTCAACCACTGAAACAGTTGAGCACAGTGAATCAGAGCTGGCACCACAGAAACTGGTTTTATTGGATGAAGCAGGCAAAGTTCCAGTAGCATTCTTCTCTCAGACCATACTCCCAAAGTCTGGTGAGGCAGGCATCAGCATCTCATTTTATAATTAGGAAACAACAGTCTAAATGGTTAAATCCAACAAGTAGGAGGCATGTTTTCAGCCCTACTCTCTCAAATATGGAAGTCTTTGTTCCTTTCACTAATGTGTGTTGGTTTAGGTTTGGGGTTTGGCACTTTTTTCCCCCTGTAAACACATGAAGAAAGACTTAGCAATGAACAGATTACAAATGTTCATTTTTAAAGAGCTACATGTAACTCAAAATGTCTTTTTCCCACAGGCACAAAACCTTCTGAGCAAACCGAAATTACCACTATTAAGACAAATATGATCAGTAAATGCAGACTGGAGGACAAGATTCAAACTAGTGGCAATTAAGGGCAGATCCTCCACAACAGCTAGAAGTTATGGAGAACCTCAATTCTGCATCTTGTTGGCATGGCTCGTATGCTAAACCCACAAACCTAAAAATCTTTTAGGAATTTCCTTCTTTCTCAGAAGGAAGATATTTCCTCACAAAGCACTGAAACCTAAAAATCTCTTAGGAGTTTCCTTCTTTCTCAGAAGGAAGATATTTCCTCACAAAGCACTGAAACCTAAAAATCTCTTAGGAGTTTCCTTCTTTCTCAGAAGGAAGATATTTTCTCACAAAGCACTGCATCACTACCACAGACCTTCTTCTGAGAGAAGCTGCGTGCAAGATTCTGCAAGCTTCTGAGGGGGATGAAAATATGGCTTTGAAGCTGAGGAGGAAAACTTTGTAGGGTTCTGCAATATTTTAACTCTCAGAATTTCAATCTCAACCCTCAGTTAAACTTCCAAAAACTCAGTTGTCATCAAATCATTTCTAACTCATGGTAGTGACTCTAAGAGTCAGAGAAGAACTGTGCTAAGAAGTCACTGCCGAGTCACTGAGTCACCTGAGGTCACTACTTTTCCTTACTCATGGGCCCCTAAATGATCATACATGAGTGCATGTGGCAGAGAGGAGCCAAGAAGAGCTGGATCATAGTAGGAAACAGTTTTCCCTACAAGCCCCACCTATCTCAGCCAACCCACTGCCTTGTGAGTAAGCCCAGCTAAGATCTGCAGAGCCTTCCTACATACTCTGGAAAAGCACCAGCAAGAAATGGTTGTATATTGCTGAGAATTTGTGATTGTTTTCTATGTGGCATTAGTGAAGCACTGTCATTAATATTACATGCAAGCACAGTATTTCTGAAGACCATCCAAAAATGACTGGAACAGTACATTGACAGGAAGAGCCAGAAGTTCAAGCTATGTTTAGAAGAGGCTGTGGCACCAGGGATATTATTGCTGATGTCAAATGGATCCTGGCTGAAAGCAGAGGATATCAGAACAATGTCTTGGGGCAGGGGGCGGGGGTGGTGGTGGTGAGGGTTTTTTTTTTAAGGGATGGATGTATTAATTTTATTAACATGGATTTCAGAGAAAAAAAGAAGCAGCACATTCCCTAATGTCCTCTGCAAAAAAAGCTCAAGTTGGGATGTGTAACAAAAGCTGGACCTCAGCAGAATCTACCCACCCCCTTTCCCACCCCTGCTCTCTTCATTGCTTCTGAAGCAGACAGACAAGCTATAGGGGCCTTTGAGCTGGGCTCTCACTCATCCCCAGGACTTCCTGTACCTCTTTAGACAAAGGAACCATCGGATACTCAATTAGCTCTTTCCTAGCCCCAACTTATATTTCCACAGGTCCTGCCTCAAAACCAGGAGTTAAAAATTGAGAAAGACTGTCTTTCATCTGTTTCCTGTTTTATTGACTATGCAGAGGCATTTGACTGTGTGGATCACAACAAACTATAACTAACATTGAGAAGGATGGAAATACCAGAACTCTTAATTGTGCTCATATGAACTCTATACCAAGACCAAGAAGTTGCTGTCTGAATGGAACAAGTAAACATTGTCTGGTTTAAAATCAGAAAGGGTGTGCATCAGGGGCCTATCTTTTCTCCATATGCATACATTCTGTATGCTGAGCAAATAATTCACGAAGTCAGACTCTCTGAAGAAGAATGTGACATCAGAATCGTAGGAAGACTCATCAACAACCTGCATTATGGAGATGCACAACTTTGCTTGCTGCAAGTGAGGGGACCCTAAAGCAATTGTTGCAGATCAAAGACTACATCCTTCAATATGGATTGCATCTTAACATCAAGACAACAAACGTCTTTACCACTGGGCCAGTGGACAACATCATGATAGATGGAGGAAAAATTGAAATTGTCAATAATTTCATCTTACTTGGAAACACAATCAGCATCATTGGTACCAGCAGTCAGGAAATCCGGAGACATATTACACTGGGAAAGTCCACCTCTCCATAATACGGAAAAGCATTGATGTCAGTTTGAAGACTAAGGGGTACCTTATTCAGGCCATGATTTTTTCTATTATGTGTTATACATCTGAGAGCTGTCAATGAATAAGGGCAACAGAAGAAGAACTGATGCCTTTGAGTTGTGATGCTGGAGAAAAGTACTGAATATCCAAAAGAATAAAAGAGCAGAACTGAAATGCAAAAGAAAATTACTGAATACAAAAGAAGTACTGAATATCTAAAAGAACTGACTGCCAAAAGAATGAACATGTATTTCTCGGAAAGGGTGCAGCCAGAGTGCTCCTCGGAAACAAGTATGACAAAGCTTTATCTCTCATACTTTGGACATGTTGCTAGGGGAGTGTATTGCTTGGAAATGGATATCATGCTTGAAAAGGTGGAGGATGAGAGAAAGAGAGGAAGACCCCCATTGAGATGGATTGACATAGTGATTGCAACAAGGGGGTCAAGTTTAAAAAAGACCGTGAGGATGGCACAGGATAGAATAGGATTCAGAACTTTTGCTCATAGGATCGCTTAAGTCATACTTGATTCAACAGCACCTAACAACAGCAGTTAACTGATACAGCATTTCTCTTTACCTCTTTCTCCTTGACCTGAGGATCTAATCACCTGCAGTTATTGTCAACAAACGTGTTTAGTAAAGGGCAAGAGGCAAGCAAAAATTAAGTAAGTTGTAAGATATAAATGACTTCCAAATTCTAAATGAACTCTGCTTTGATGTCTCTTTATAGAGCTCTGGTAGCCCAGAGCATACAGTACTGCTAACGAAAATGCTTTGCGGGGAGCTCTGGTGGCCTAGTGGCAAGGAGCTACAACTACAATCCCAGAGGCTCACAGTTCGAATCCACCAGATGCTCTGCTGGGAAAGGAGGGACAATCTCCTCCTGTACCAGTCAGATCTAATTTGATGGTACACTCACACAAAAATTTAAAAAACAAAACAAAACAAAACAGAAAATGCTTTGCAACTCTGGAGGTCCAAATTCACCAGCAGCTCTGTGAAAGGCAGATAATCTTCTGTTGATAAGATTGACAGCTTAAATTGATTGAAGGTTGCTAAAAGTTGAAATCAACTAAATGACAATATATTTGAATTGCCTGATATGCTTCCTTAAGTTCCTGTAAAGTGTTACTTTAAATATGAATTCCCTGGGCAGCATTTCATTAGCTAGCTTTCCAAATTATTATTATTATTCTTTATTTATTCTCTTGGCGTCCGTGGGAAGTTCCGTACTCTTCTCCAACACCACAACTCAAAGGCATCAGTTCTTCTTCTGTCAACTCTGTACACTGTCCAGCTCTCACATGCACAGCAAGTGATCAGGAAGACAATGGCCTGAATCGGACACACCTTAGTCCTCAAACTGACATCATTACTCCTCAATAATTTGGAAAGGTCTCTAACTGCAAACTTTCCCAATGCCACACATCTTCTGATTTCCCGACTGCTGGTACCAAGGGTGTTAATTGTGGATCCATGTAAGACGAAGCTTTTGATAGTTTCAATCTCGTCTCCATCCATCATGACATTGACTATTGGTCCAATGGTAAGAATCTTTGTTTTCTTGACACTGAGATGCAATCCATACTGAAGGCTGCATTCCTTGATCCTCTGCAACAAGTGCCGCAAGTCCTCCTCACTTTCAGCAAGCCAGGTTGTGTCATCCGCATAATGCAGGTTATTGATGAGTCTCCCTTCAATCCTGATGCCACATTCCTCTTCACAGTGTCCAGCTTCTCAAATAATTGCTCAGCATACAGATAAAATTGGTATAGAGCAAGAATACAACCCTAATGCAGTCCCTTCTTAATTTTAAACCATGAAGTGTTCCCCTGCTCTGTCCTCACAACCACCTCCTGGTCCAGGTAGAGGTTTCACAAGAGCACAATTAAGTGCTCTGGGATTCCCATTACTCTCAATGTCAGCCACAATGTGTTATAATCTACACAGTCAAATGCCTTTGCATAGTCAATGAAGGCATAAATAGACATTCTTCTGATATTCCCTACTTTCAGCCAGGATCAATCTGACGTCAGCAATGATTTCCACGGTGCGATGGCCTCTCCTAAATCTTGCTTGAACTTCTGGTAATTCCCTACCTAGGTACTGTTTTAGCCATTTTTTCATGATCTTCAGCAGTATGTTGCTTACATGCTATAATAATGTTCAACAGTCTCCACATTCAGTTGGCTTCCTTTCTTAAGCCAGAGAGCTATTCGGAGAGAAGGATGACAAGGCTTCACCTTACATACTGTAGGCATGTTGCTAGGAAGGGCAATTCCTTGAAGAGGGACATGATGCTT